GTGGCCGCTGATCCCGCCACCGCACCGAGATGTCTCCCCCAGGTGGGACATTTAGGAGCACATTCCTGTCTGGGGGTATACGTCTCCCTGACAATACAATGGACTCCGGCTTAATGAGCACAGTCCACGGGCAATGCAATCATTTGTCTACAATCAGCCTGGTGGGCTTTTCACGCATAATTGCACTGGGCGAAGATGCACACCATAAGAGCAAACAAACACAAAACGCCCATAGCGAGACACGGAACAAAGGCACAGGAAGACACGGAGGCGGGGCTGGCCGAGGAAGGACCGTGATGATTTCATGAAGAGAAATTACGATTCTGTTTTGATCAGGATTCATGTAAAAGTGAATACCTTTATATTGGCTTGACTAGGTTACTAAAGTCATCTGCTTTTCCTTCACATTTTAAAGGTTGTATCGAGCATTTTTTAAGGAAAGAGAAATACAGCGACAGTCCTTTTTCAAATGTTGTGCATGTGCAGTGTTGGGAAGGTGACTTTAAAAATGTAGTCCCCTACAGATTACAGATTACATACCCCAAAATGTAGTTTGTAACGTACTAAGTGTAGTGTAAGTTACTTAAAGTGAGTAACGTAATCTGAATACTTTGGATTACTTGATATTGTCCTGGTTTTAGTCCTGGTTTTAGTCCTGGTTTAGTCTGTTAGTTTTAGTCCTGGTTTAGTTTTGGTTTTAGTCCTGGTTTAGTCCTGGTTTTTAGTCTTGGTTTAGTCCTGGTTTAGTTCTGGTTTTAGTCCTGGTTTTAGTCCTAGTTTAGTCCTGATTTTAGTCCTGGTTTTAGTCCTGGTTTAGTCCTGTTTTTTTTGGTTTTTTTTGTCTTGGTTTAGTCCTGATTTAGTCCTGGTTTTAGACCTGATTTTAATCCTGGTTTAGTTCTGGTTTTAGTTCTGGTTTTAGTCCTGATTTTAATCCTGGTTTTAGAACTGATTTAGTCCTGGTTTAACCCAAAATATGAAAACAGGAAAATACCGTGGTGTAATCCATTTAATTCAACAAAGTAACTGTAATCCCATTACCACTCACTGAAACAGTAACTGTAACTGAATACAGTTACTCATAATTTGTACTCTGATTACGTAACTCCGGTACATGTAATCTGTTACTCCCCAACACTGTGCATGAGTGACACCACCTCCCTCCTCCACAGCTCTCTCAGTAGAAACACCTCCTCCCGCCTCTTTACTCTAGAAATCACACTTGTTTACATCCAGTGCACGCTCAGAATTACTGTTGAAGTGACCTGTCTAGAAAAAATTCAGCGACCGACGCGTCAGGTTTTAGACCATTTGTCTGGTTCAGTCGCGTCATCGCTGGAAGAGATCTCCAAGAATCACCTCAGTTTGGCTTTGCTCCTTTTCCCCTTCTCTTCTTTTTTCAGCGACCTCAAAAACTGACTTTCTTTTGCGGCGAACTGGTCGTGGATTCTCGTCCGCCGTCGCAACAAACTTTGTGTGAATTGCGAGGAAGCTACAGTTTGAAAAAGCCTCTAAGAATCACTGCATAAACCACATAATCCCTGCGCGCTGCGAGTCAGTTACACTAGAAACGTAGGGAGTTTGATTGACAACCTAACAGCCAATAGAAAATGAGGCAGCCTTATTACCTATTGGCTGATGTTTATCTGGCCTCACTACGTCCACAGTTGGTAGATTTTCATTCTTCTTCTTTTTTTTTTTTTGGTCATCATAATTACAAGGCTGCTGCGTCTCTGTAATGGTATTTTAAACTTTCACTGACAATTTGAAACAAACAAAAAAAAAATCCTCCATACAACCTTTAAATCCAAGAGGCTTTATTCACACTACATCACAAACCAGGAAGACGTTGGGAAAGATGCGATCATAACTTCCGGTGTAGTTACCAACAATGGTCTCACCTAACACGGATCTATTAAAACTGACTGTGATAAAACCCATTGAAATAAATGTGAGCAGTGGTAAAATGAAGACTGCATACATATGTGTTTACTGTGCTTTGGAATCACCTTGAATTTAGCGCCTCATCTCTTCCCATCGCTTGTACCCAGTGCACTCGGAGTTGTGTGTCAGAGGGGAAATGATGAAAACTGAGGTATGGTTGGAATTGTTGATTAGCTGAACATAACAGAACACTACAATGACATGGAGATGAAGAAAACTGGGCCCGGGAAGTTGTAATTGCATCTTTCCAAATGTCTTCCTGGTTTGTGATGTAAGCGTGAATAGAGCCTATTGGTTAAATCCACCTGTCACTCACTCAGAGCATTGCTGCCGCTCACCAGTGGGAGGTGTGAGTTTGAAAAATGTATTTGAGTGTACAGAATCAGAGGGTGATTTTACCAAAACAGGACACTATCAATGCCGTGAGATCACAAGTCACCAGATATTGACAAAAATGAGTGTCTCAATATTATTATTCTGCATTAACCCAATGACAATATTCAGACAAGATGCTGGTCATGTGTCAGAGATGAGCCAAAATGTGCTTTTGAAATGTAAGAAACAGTGTAATCAAGTAATCAAGCCTGATTCATCACTTTGACCTCACAGCGTTAGTATTCGTTCACTTGATGGTAGGTAGGTACTTTTTTTATTTAACCAATCACTGCTGTTTGGTCGTGACGTATGTAATGCACCAAATCCAGCAGGGAGAAGGACAATAACGTCTTTCCCCTTGATAAAATTCACCAAACATGCTCTTTGTTCCAGCTTGAAATCCTCGATCTGGGGAATCGTTGCCGACACAGAATGTCTGTCTTCGTCTACATCCATCTCGTCACTTTGGCTACGTTCAGACTAGGGATGGGCATGATTAATCGATAATTGATCATTAAAAATTTCATCGATTACGTTCATTTTAATCGACAAACCGAATGTAGGTTGCATGTGTCTCTGCATCAGAAGGAGCGAGACACAAACAGTGGGTCAGTCTGCAACGTACCGAAGCACAAATGTGTATTTAACGATGATTCGTACAAGAAATTCCACGCTTTCCGTTGCGTGTGGGGGTCCATGTGCACAGTGTACAAAGCAGGAACATATGTTTCGGTGTCCAGTGGGAAAAAGTTTTGCCAGGTGAGAGTCGCGCAATGTGGATGACGAGTCCCCACCTCCCTCCCCCCGTACGGTGTCCTGGTTTTGACAAACACAAATCTGGTCACACTAACCTGTATTCCACTGAGTCATGTCTTTTAATCTGACAGAAGTTGACGGCATCAGCGACACAAGAGCTGTAGTTTTATCTTCGCTTAGTTTATGCAAATTAGCGATGTGGTTTTAAGTTTTGTTTCTGTGAGATTTGAACAAAACTGAATTAAACACATTATAATGTCAAACGGCTGATGTGGCTCTAGAGTGGTTACGGTTTATATGTCGTAAAGTTGAATTTATTTATGCAGATTAGTAGTGCAGATAGTAATAATAATGATGATCATTTTAATATAAAAATGTTAACGATTAATCAATAATCGATCGTTAATTCTTCCGACGGTCGATTAAGAAAATTTAATCGACTGCCCATCCCTAGTTCAGACTGCAGGGCTTAATGCTCAATTCCGATTTTTTTGTGAAATCTGATGTTTTTGCGAGGTCGTTCACATTTCCAATTAAATGTGACTTGTATGTGACTCCAGTGTGAACAGTAAACGGCCCGAAAGTGTCCCACATGTGCACTGGAGACACGATGACGTCAACCACAGTGAGCGTCTCTGTGTTTACAGAAGTTGTATAAATATGGACGTGAGCATTGAGCACCTGGAGATTTTAAAGTTCCTCTCGTACCGGAGCCAGAACATGAACAACTTACTTGTTTTAAGGAGGAGATTGAGAAGGAGAAGGACGAGGTTTTTGGTCGTGGTGTTTTGTGGGACAGCGGCAGCGACGTCTGTTGAAAGGAACGTGTGGATGTGGAGACGGAGCCAAGAGTGGTGAGTGGTGATGTGCTTCACTTCAGTGACACAGAGTTCATTAACAATGTTTGCCTACTTCAGAGCAGAATAGTGACGTTTGTGGTTTGTTGATAACGTGTAGGTCGGATGAATGCACTTTGACCGTTCAGACTGAAGTCACATGTCAAAAGATCAGATATGTATCGGTTTCAGGAGCACATATCCAAGTGTCCTGGGTCACATTTGAAAAAATTGGATCTGTGTGGTTCAGACTGTCATTAAAAGATCAGATACAGGTCACATAGAGGCCAAAAAATCGGATTTGGGTCACTTCAGGCTGCAGTCTGAACGCAGCCTTTGTTTACTGTTGTGCTGTTCCACAAAAGGGACACAGACAGACGCGACAAGTTTGACGTCACGGCTTCACAGCTCACAGCTGATTGGCCGGTGCGCGCTCTACAACTTCCAGGGTTCTTGCAAACCATCTAGTGTATTCTGATTCCTGATCTAGTCGCTGGAGAGAAATGAAATTGAGCAGAGGCACTAGGTGGCGCCGCCCTGGCTAAATAAGTATAGCACAAAACAAGAACTGACTATTAAATGAACCACAAAAATGCAAAGAAAATGATCTTAATCCCCTTATTTGATGCAGTTTTTAAATGAACTTTTAATATAGCCTAAATAGTTGATATTCTCCAGTAGTGGGGTTTAGTGGGGTAGTTTATACAATACTCATCTCTATTTTGATACACATGAAAATAGTCCATTTTCTTCTTGTCATTATCATTTTCTATCATGATGTGGTCATGTACTACATATGATACAGATCAAGGCCATTCTAAGACAAGCATCAATACTTTATAGTATATACTGTATATCGTAATTTGAGTACAGATGAATATCATTGGTATAGATTTTTGGACAACCGATTTTTCACTACACCCACTAAATGCAATTAAACGCAACTGAAAATAAAGACAGACAGAATGAGAGAGACTCCAGATGAATACTGGCTAGAGACAAAGTGAGAGGGTTGATGTACGACTTTACAAATGTAAAAAGGCATCGATAAGATTAAAACCGCTCAAAGGTTGTTGTTCTGTTTTTTACCTTGAAGAATCCATGAGCAGAATTTCTTTGTCCAATCCACAGCGCCGCGTCTTCAGGTATGTCCATAAAAGGAGCTTCCACCACTCGCTCATAAATCCTGCAAAAATTAAAATGTACAAGTGTTACAAGAAAAGATGATGATTTTTTACCATAGATTATTAACCAGGTGTAATTATTCTGTTATTATATATTCAGATTCTGCATCACAAGCAGTTTTCTAGTTGGTTCTTGGACAAAATTCAAAGATTGCAACCAATTATGGACAGAAAGTAAAGGTTATTTTATTTCTATTTTTATTTTTTTATTTATTTGAGACAGGGACAGTGCACTATTTTTACATTAACCTTAACAGGAGATGCATTGTACCAGGTTGTGGCTAATTTCTCCCTGTAATCCCTGGGCACAGTGACTGACTGTATTTAAATGACCTTGACTATCAACTGTTCTTCCTGGAGACCTGTAGCATGTTTTTGGGTTGATTGGGGAACCCGGAGGACCTGGAGGAAACCCATCCAGACACAGGGAGAAAACATGCAAACTCCATACAGAAAGAATCCGTGTATCATTCGTTCATTCGTTTTTCAATATAAAACCAAAAATAAGGGACCAGAGCGGGACTGAGACCGGGACCAGAGCAGGACTGAGACCGGGACAGACCGGGACCAGAGCGGGACCAGAGCGGAACTGAGACCGAGACCAGCAGTTCGAGCGGTTCAGGGAAAGCAAGAATGCGCTGTGGACTACAGGTCTGGACGGGCTGCTCCGGTCCTCCGCACTCAAGAACCACGTGGCTGGTTCCAAGGTGGTGCAAAGCATCCGATTGACGCTTTCACATCAACGAAAATGAACTGAACTAAGAGCTTTTGGTTCAAATGGACCAGGTCCGGGACCACACCGGGACCAGAGCGCTACTGAGACTGGGACCACACCGGGACCAGAGCGGGCCTGAGACCGAGACAAGACCAGGACCAGACCGGGACCAGACCGGAGGCTCAGAGCCCACGGCAGTTCCGGAGCTCGAAGTCAAAGCTCAGAGTCCGCCCTGGTCCCGCTCTGGTCCCGATCTGTCTCGGTCTCAGTCCTGCTCTGGTCTCGGTCTGGTCTCGGACCTGGATCAGTCCTGATTCAGTCCGTACACGCGGTGCAAAAGTCCGGCATCGCAGTCACGGAAGTCACGTAAAAGGGAAACGGCCGTTATCCGTTTTTTCTATTCTTCATTTAAACACAAAATCGAAAACTGAAAAAACGAATCGTTTGGTTTTGGAGACAAATAGTGAAGAAGACTGTTGTTTTTTTGTTTTCTTATTTTTGTTTTTATATTGAAAAACGAATGAACGAATGATACACGGATTAGAAAGGCCCGGGGACCCAGTAATCAAACCCGGAACCTTCTTGCTGTGAGATATGAGTGCTAGCCACTCAGCCACCGTGCCGTTAAAGGTACACTATGGCTACGTTCAGACTGCAGGGCTTAATGCTCAATTCCGATTTTTTTGTGAAATCCGATGTTTTTGCGAGGTCGTTCACATTTCCAATTAAATGCGACTTGTCTGTGACTTCAGTGTGAACAGTAAATGGCCCGAAAGTGTCCCGCATGTGCACTGGAGACACGATGACGTCAACCCCATGCGTCAACCGCAGCGAGCGTGCTCTGTGTTTACGGAAGTTGTCCAAATATGGTCGCGAGCATTGAGCACCTGGTGATTTTACAGTTCCGGTTTCCGCCTGGCTTCAGCGCAGAATAGTGACGTTTGTCGCTTGTTAATGACGTGTAGGTCGGATGGATGCGCTTTGGCCGTTCAGACTGAAGTCACACGTCAAAAGATCGGATATGTATCGGATTCAGGAGCACATATCCAAGTGGCCTGGGTCACATTTGAAAAAAATGGATCTGTGCCGTTCAGACTGTCATTAAAAGATCGGATACAGGTCACATAGAAGCCAAAAAATCGGATTTGGGTCACTTCAGGCTGCAGTCTGAACGCAGCCTTAGTCACTTTTCCAGCGGGGGTGTATGCCAGGTTTTTGTCTCTATCTAGCTTTTTGCCTGGGATGTTCCACAGTATGGCATTAAACCTTCCTACCTCCATGGGGACAGTTTTGGAAATAAATAAATACACCTCTAATTGAATGAATACAAGATGATAATGCCATATTGTGAAACATTCCAGGCAAATCAATCAATCTTCATAAGACAAACAGGAGAATCCACTTCTAAACAAGTTACACAGTACAACTTTCCCGTCACATTTCTGTAATCTTGGCATATGTGAGAGGAACTACTGTACATAATAAAGGACTTTTCTTCGGATTAACAAACACAACATGATAGAAAGTCTGGAACATTTTAATTAACCTATAGAAATGAACAACAGGTGCAGTGAATTTAATAAGCTGAATCACCATCTGCTGCACTGGCCCTGAAGGACCTGAAGGAAAGTCTAAATGTTGTGGTGCTTTCAAAGGGACTAAAGTTGATTACATGTTAATGAATTCTTTGAACAGTGTCAGCAGTTGCAGTAAAATCCAATACGGTGCAATGATATGAATGCTAATCTAACCAGTATACATACTATACATAGTGCCATATAAACTTCCTTATGACCTTATTTCATTAAAGGGCAGTTGTGTAATGTGTGATGTTTTATTCAGTGAATGCTCTGATTAAAGACACGTATGTCGCTGGCAGACCTTTACCGCTGCACCTGAACAAGCACAACAAACCCGTTTGTCTGGAGAACATATGCTAAGTGGATTCTTTGTCTATTTGTTATTGCACTGTTTTTTTCAGCCGCTTTAGCGCAATATTGTCAGATCATGTTTTCTGTTCACCTGCTTCATGCCACATTGATTTTTGTATCATTCTAAAATGGCTTCTATGCATCAGTCTGGAGCAGAAAAGGTGGAACATCATGACGAATATTCAAATGTGATTAGTCGAAACATCGCAACAGCAGAACGAAACGAAAAGTCAGACCTTTATTAAATCCAGTTGAGAGAAAAGCACAGATGTCAGACATTTAACAAGAACTAAATAGGCCACAATCTGGTTTAGATGTCAACATTAACTAGTAGTAAGTCATCATCATCATCATCATCATCATCATCATCATCATCTTTATTTGGACTCATGGTCCATTTTTAAAACAGACACAGTCAGTGACAACACAACCCAACAAACATTTATGGTTTTAAAAGACCAAAAAGCCATACCAGTGTCTCCACGTGTTGGACTGATGTTGTATTGCACTTAATCTGATATTTGTGAGTGACATTATTATTTCATTGTTTGATTTGTTCAGTCTGCAGATAAAACTGTGCGTTCAAATTGTTAGTGCAGCTTGCAAAGTGTTCACTCGTGCAGTAACAAACATCTCAGTCGCACTCGTCCATCATGGCTCCTCAAAAACACCTGTAAAGTGTCATTGTAGGCACCTGCAGTCTTTGTAAACTGGAATTATTATAATTAGTCCGGAGGTGGGCTGTGTACAATTTTGTAACAATAACAACTTTACATCATTTGTACAAGAACCAAACTTACACATAAGAGTATTTGCCTGAACATAGAGCGTCCTACACTGTCTATACATGTCATCATCATCATCTGGCATGTCCACACTGATGATCTGACTCAGATATTAAATGTTTGTTGTAAGTCATTCTTTGATTGTGAGTATACACACAAGTTGTACAATAAAATCACACAGAGAGTGTTACTGTGACCCAACCAACCAGAGTGTCCTTGGAGGTGGACGAAACTGAAACACCCAGAGAAAACCTACGATCACGCTGAAGCCGCCACGTGCCCTGGTCCTGTCTCACCTGTTGCAGTCCACGTGCAGTATGATGTGTGAGGCGCTGATGGCGATAGACAGCTTGTGCCACTGGTCGTCTGCGAGGCTGTAGGGGAAGAGCTCAGTGTGCGGCTGCTGTCCTTTGGTCCTGTAGTGAAGACGCACCTCACTGCGCTGACCGCTGCTCTCCAGCTCCAGAAACCTAAGCACAGGGACAAAGAGAGGACAGTGAGCGCCCAGTGGAAACTATACGCTGATGCCTTTTACAAAACAATCACCTTAAAAGTGTCATTTCAAAGTGGTCTACAGTAGAACCCCATATTGGCCTACAGGTGGAGCTGGTATTTGCACTTTAAATGAATGACCTTAAAGCTCCTATTTTGTTTGGGGAAGGAATTAAATGAAGCGTTTTATTGGAACACTTAGTACATTTAGTACAGACAACATTGCACATAATGTGAATATATTGTTTAATAGGTCTGTATTGAAACAGGACATTTGTTATTAGAAAAACAATGTTTATAGTCATTATTGCATATTATTTCTTGCCTGGAAATCCAGCAGGATCTCTCTCTGTATTTATTTCAGGAAATGTATCAAAAAACCCTTCATCCATGGAATAGCCCATATCTGTCAATCAATCTCTAAAATATTTGGCAAAGAGAACACTGAAGTCTCTTTATACTAGATAAAGATAAAAATCCTTTATTAAAGCTGAAGCACACTAGTCTGATTCATCAGCCCGTTTCACTTCATGGAAACCGTGTGACCTCGCAGCATTAGGATTCGTTCGCTCGACAGTAGGCGAGTACTTTTTTTATTTAACCAATCGCTGCTGTTTGGTTGTGTCGTATGTAATGCACCAAATCCTGTAGGAAGAAAGGAAGAAGGACAATAACTTCTTTCCCCTTGATAAAATTCACCAAACATTCTCTTTGTTCCTGCTTTAAATCCTCAATCTCCGGAATCGCTGCCAACACAGAATGTCTGTCTTCTTCTACATCCATCTCGATGCTTTGTTTACTGTTGTGCTGTTCCACAAAAGGGACACAGACAGACGTGGTGAGTTTGACGTCATGGCTTCACAGCTCACAGCTGATTGGCCAGTGCGCGGTCTACAACTTCTGGGGTTCTTGTAAACCGTCTAGTGTATTCTGATTCCTGACCAAGTTGCTGGAGAGAAAAGAAACTGAGCAGAGGCACTAGGTGGCACACAACTTTTTTCAGTAAATTTTCTCTAAATTATTTTCTCCAGAAAGGATATTGTAAAAGCAGAACATTGCTGCACAACATTTCTGTTTAATTAATTTTACAAACTTGTAAAAAAGAGAACCATGTTAGTCACTAAATGACACTTTGGGTTGAGAGCTGATTGGCTGTTCTTTGGTGCTCCAGCTTGCTTCAATTTTTCCATCTACATTTCTAAAGCTGTGCTGGTGGCCAAAAGATCCATGCATGTGAATACTAGTGATATGCAGCTATGAACCCGACCTTACATGACTATGCCACTACTCTGATTCACCAGTGCAAAATAAATGTCACTGGATGTTTGCTGGAAGTTAAAAGATTCCACAGTAACACAGGAAGGACATGGTATTAAGTTATTTTTTGCAACTTCTGTCAATACAGAATCTGCTTGCATCATCAAAACTCGACCACTTCTGTCCATTTCTGGGTTATGAATTCATAGATGTCCCTCCACGGCTTCAGCGGGGCCCTCGCCTCTTCACATAAGCGGTGAATATAAAGGTTTGAATGGTCACGGACATTATAATGGGGTTGTGCGTTTTAAGTGCAACATCAGCAGAGCACATTGAGCACGTCTGACACACTGAATCTCCACATTACCATTCAAATCCAATCCTCTTCCTCACAGCACATACATTTACATTTACATTTACATTTACATACGCGCACTTCATACTGACCTTAATGACAAGTGCTGCCGCGTGCGTTTAACCCGGATTCGCAACAGAGACGGACAAACTACTCCACGTTTTAAACCCGGTGGGTCAAAAGGGGCACTAAGTCACTTTAACGCTGGAGGGTCATGCCGCCTGTTTGTCTCCATGGAGCTGATGCTGCTTTGACTTTAATGTCCCTCAGTATGGCATTCATTTAAAACATACAATATTTTTCGGACTATAAGTAGCGCTTTTTTTTTCATGGTTTGGGTGTTTCCTGCAACTTATATATTAAAATGTTCACACTGAAGCGGTGAGAGGTTCTAGTCTTGTGTGTGAGTATCTGCTGCTCCTGTTCCTCCTGTACCACTGTCACTTCACTCTACTGCACATGTCTCCTGCATGTTTCCTGCTGCAAGTAGTGAAATATGCGGAAGCCGAGAGGGGTCACAACAAACGCAAACGCCGCAACAAATACAAATGCGACAACACAACAAAAAGCCACAACACACCAAAAAAAGCCACAACGGAAATGACTGCGGGACTCTATTTTAATGCAAACGCCGCAACAAATACAAACACCACAACACAAATGCAAATGCAGCAACACATTAAAAAGCCACAACACATTAAAAAGCCACAACGGAAGTGACCGCGGGACTCTATTTTCAGACGGACCGATCAAGCGGCAAGTGAAGAAGAAGAACTACAACGTGTAAAGTAAAGGAACAGAGAAGTTGGAAACGTAAGTAAAAGTAATTTATTGTTTTATCATTATTCGTTTCATGTTGTAGTTCTTCTTCTTCACTTGCCGCTTGATCGGTCCGTCTGAAAATAGAGTCCAGCGGTCACTTCTGTTGTGGCTTTTTAATGTGTTGTGGCTTTTTAATGTGTTGTGGCATTTGCGTTTGTGTTGTGGTGTTTGTATTTGTTGCGGCGTTTGCATTAAAATAGAGTCCCGCAGTCATTTCCGTTGTGGCTTTTTTTGGTGTGTTGTGGCTTTTTGTTGTGTTGTCACATTTGTATTTGTTGCAGCGTTTGCGTTTGTTGTGACCCCTCTCAGCTTCCGTAGAAATATGCAGCTGAAAACTAATTGAGCAGCAGAAAGAAAGTTTGGAGTGACTGAGAAACTTGTGAGGGGCTGGCAGAAAGCGGGGATGGAGAACACAGCTTCACGGTAATCAGGGCGACGCACGATAAAACTTTCCTGAAGTCACTGGATGGATGGACAAAGTCTGGACTTCAGTGACACCAAAACCATCCTGTCAGGATTCAGAAAGACCCCAACAATTCTAACTGGAACTGATGCTGAGTCTGACGACAGCGACACAGAAGAGGAAGCGACGCTCTGTTTACCTCCAGAGGTCGAGACCGAATTGCTCAGAAGTGACACTGAGGATGAAGAACTGAATGGATTTAGTGATTTGGAGTGAGATGGAGAGTTTGTCAAACTTGTTCTGTTCTGTTGTTTATGTTATAGTTTATCTGAAGAACTGTTCATATGTGACGTTAACAGTCTGTTGTTCTCTCTTCTATTGTTTTTACTAGAATTTGACTTTCAACAAGAAATGTCGGTTCCTGGTCTCTGATTTTATAAAATAAATTTCCCCCCAAAAAAGTGCAACTTATATGTTTTTTTCTTCTTCATTCTGCATTTTTTGGCTGGTGCGACTTAAACTCCGGAGCCACTTATAGTCCAAAAATACTGTAATAACAATAACCATGTACAAACAAATTTACCACATATCCAAGTGGCCTGGGTCACATTTGAAAAAATCGGATCTGTGTGGTTCAGACTGTCATTAAAAGATCAGATACAGGTCACATAGAGGCCAAAAAATCAGGTTTGGGTCACTTCAGGCTGCAGTCTGAACGCAGCCTAAGTGTATCTCCCACAGTGTGCGCTTCAAAGAGGCTCATGATGTTCACGGTTACAGGAGCCAAACTGGAGCCAGATTCTACGTTATGAACAGGATTTTTTTGATGTACAAAATAGTGAAAAAAAATTCTGATCATGTGTCGCGGGTTAATACGAACATTTTAAGACCAAAATGACGAGGCTCACTGCAGCAGGTACAGAGAGAGGAGCCACAAGATCCTAATGTAAGTCAACTGGAGCCAGAGTCAGAAGGAGCCAGAAGAACCTCCTAGAGAACTTCCTGGCATTTAGCACGTTCACTCTGTCCACTCATATATACAGTCTATGCTTTAAACTAATTTGAAATTACAAAATAAACATATTTTATCATTTTATCTCATACATGGACTAAAGCTGCAGTGCTTTTATTTTCGGGGTGTTTTTTTTTTTTTTGTTCACATAGAAAATTACGCAATACATAAATAAAGACATATGTGTACAATTAATATTATGCAGAGTAAAGCATTTTGGTGCATCACAATATGTTCTGTTTCTCATGGAAAAAAGAATTGCCCAGCCGTGCTCTATAGTTTTCTAAATGTATGAGCAGTATTGAGCCGTCAGGTTGTTCCAGGGCTGTTTTCTTGTTGCAGATTTTTCCAGTGACAGTTTCTTTCTGACATTTGATGCCAAGTTTTAGATCACAAATTCACAGTTAAAGTTGCTCAAATCATAAACTAATATTTATAAATGTGAAGACATTACACAGCAGAGACACACAAACAGACACCAGTCGCTGTGCGCATAATGAATCTGCCAGCCGCTCTAATAGGTTTACACTTTCCCTCCCATGCAGACACACATTTATCCCAGCGCTCATGAACGCACCATCCTGCAGCCCAGTGACAGTGAATTAACGTAGCGGCGCTCCTAAACACATCCACACACTCACTCGTGTCGTGGCGTGTGATTGGCTGAGACCCCCAATCAGCCAAGGGTAAAACCATTAACGTCCCTGCGTATTCTAACATTAGCCTACAAACGCTTCACTCAAAGCATTATGGGAGATTCTTGATTGCTGTTCTGATCACCCGATGCCTCGGCTACACAGAACTAATGGAGAAAATTAGCATGCTAACGGTAGCAAGGCTCATCAGTTTTCAGAGCACGATTACAGAGTCAATGTCTAGAGCCATATGACTGATACTGTCTGCTGCATGTGCACACACACTATGCACACACACACACACACACACACTGCACACACACACACTGCACACTGGACAAGGGCGTCAATCTTGTAAATAGCCATTAAAGCAAATACTCAAATTGTACAGAAAACATTAGGGAGATTGTGATCCATAATAATTAAGCTTATGTTTGTTTAGTGAAGGAATTGTATGTGAAATGTGCAGTGAAAGGTCACAAAAACTAATACTACACATACATAAAAATACTACAAATGATTACCCTGTGTTTTGATTATTGCAAACTTAAAAAAAATAAAATAAAAACAGTATGTAACATTTTTAGTTGATGGTTCACCACCTTTTCCTCTCCATGTAGATCAGGCATGTCCAAACTATGGCTCGTGGGCCAAATGAAGTCCTCAGACAAATTTTTCTTGGCCCTCAGGCTTCAGGAGAATTGACCAAAATTACCTTGCATCAATGAAAAATGTACTTTTTATTGCAAGTTTTTTGAAAATCTACCTTGATAAAGTTAATATTTAATTTAGTGTGTGGTTTTAAGGATCTTAGCGTGAATAAAGACTGATGGCTCATTCTAATGTGTTAAAAATGCACATATTACAGTTATTCCCTGTACTGAGCTCCAGTCTACAGCCCTCGATCAGCCCTCTGCTTCATCTATGTTTAGATTTGTGGCCCTTGATGAAAATAGTTTGGACACCCCTGATGTAGATGTTCTTGTTATACGTAGAACATTCCACAATATTATCACGATATTATTATTATTATTATTATTATTATTATTATTATTATTATTATTATCACAATATGCATCTAACTGTACGTTATTTATTGTGATATTTTGTAGAGGCTGATATAATTGTAGATGGGACACTTTTTTGCTTTTAAAATACCCTGACAAGATTTTGGTGTGAATTATTTCCGTCATAATCCCAAGAATTCAAGTAAAAACATGTTTCTTCATGTTGTCTGCGCTGAAAGGAATCATGGGATATGTAGTTTCCGATGTTTAGAAGATGTTGCTTCTATAAAACCTGCATTTAAGCAAAGGAACTTGTGATTTGATATATTGTGACAGCCCACGATATTATTGTGAGACTTTTGACGATACGATATCATGATATTTCGGTTATTGATGCATTTCTACTTATTTATCTTCACAGACACAAGTAGGTAGGGCTGCTCGATTATGGAAAAATCATTATCACGATTATTTTGGTCAATATCGAAATCACGATTATTCAGACGATTATTTTTTTGTTTGTTTATTCAGTATCTCTCTCAAAAAAAAAAAAACCCAGAAAACCCAAAACACTTTGCTTTACTTTGCTATTGATAATTTATGCAAAACTTTCAAATTGAAAATAAATATAGGATACAACAGAGCAGTTTTGCAATTCATAAAATATAAAATGAATCAAATAAACTTTGAACATGAAATAAAGCAGAAAAACATCAATGTATCCAAAATAAACTATATATCCAGCTGTTCTACAATCTCTATATTTAAAACATCAAATAAAATATACTTATTTACTTATTTATATCAAAAAATATCCCAGAATAAACTTTGTTAAGCTTTAATCGTTTCAACTTGATTATATGAGATTGGAGATTGTTTGACACACAAATTGAAGTTGTGGTCAAAATTCAATTAATTACACAGCCTTACAATAGGCCAGGACACAAGTCAGATCTGTGGAGAGGCAAACCTGCTCAGTGTGTCAGTCAGTGAAACAGAATTTGTCATTTGGTGAAACAGACCTGTGACTGTTGTAGGAAACATTAAGCATTTAAATAAATATACACACAAATATCTGCATTTCTTTTACAATTGTACTTGTATTATGTACTACACAAATAAAACTATATAATACGTTACTATATTAAAGTCATCATTTTTACTTTAAATGTAAAATAATCACATAAAAAAAGGAAATTAGGTTTGGTAGATCAATTAGTAATTATTCAAAATGCAAGTTGACACCAAATATATTAAAGGTAGACAGATGTTTTTAGTGTGATTTGGTTAAGTTTTCTCGAAGTTTGTTTCAAAGTAAAATACACTTCACTAAAGAAATATACACATACATATACCTAAAAATCTACACATTTTGTTTGCCATTATATTTTAATTTTTTGAGCATTTGAAAACTGCAAAACGCCACTGACCCACATAATAAGGATGTATGTTTTTCATGTATTTTTTTTTCCATTCCAGGCAAAACACAAACATCTCCAGGGAGCCAAGCAGATGGTGGACCCACATCAGAAAAACGATATAGTGCACATCTAAAAAGTACTGGAGTATTGAGTTGTTTTAGATGAATGCTGATATTTACAACGAACAAAATTACAATTAACAAAGTGTATTTTCTTCATACTCGCCAGTTCCCAAGAACCACTTAGACACAGTGTTGGGGAGTAACAGATTACATGTACCAGAGTTACATAATCAGACTACAAATTATGAGTAACTGTATTCAGTTACAGTTACTGTTTAAGTGAGTGGTAATTGGATTACAGTTACTTGGTTGAAATAAATGGATTACACAGAGGTATTTTCCTGTTTTCACATTTTGGGCTGTATCCCCTTTTTTCTTTTTTGGTAATTCCTCTCATCGCCGGACACTAAACCAGGACTAAACCAGGACTAAACCAGGTCTAAAACCCCGACTAAACCAGGACTAAACCAGGTCTAAACCAGGACTAAACCAGGTCTAAACCAGGACTAAACCAGGACTAAAACTAAACCAGGTCTAAACCAGGACCTCTAAACCAGGACTAAACCAGGACTAAAAACCCTAAACCAGGTCTAAACCAGGCTAAACCAGGACTAAACCAGGACTAAACCAGGTCTAAACCAGGACTAAACCAGGTCTAAACCAGGACTAAACCAGGACTAAACCAGGTCTAAACCAGGTCTAAACCAGGACTAAACCAGGTCTAAACCAGGACTAAACCAGGTCTAAACCAGGACTAAACCAGGAAACCAGGTCTAAACCAGGACTAAACCAGGTCTAAACCAGGACTAAAACCAGGTCTAAACTATGTCTCAAACAGGATTTAACAGGATTAAATCCTGCTGTGTGGACGTGTCTCCTCCTCTTCTATCAATAATAGTTTTAATTTGGTTCAGTAAAGTCTGGGCTTTTAATTTTCTTTTAGCAGACAAAACATTTTATGCTACGATTTCCTCGTCTTTGCTTCTCTACAGCAAATCAAGTAATCCAAAGTATTCAGATTACATTATTCACTTTAAGTAATTCAATGGATTACGTTACAAACTACATTTTGGGGTATGTAATCTGTAATCTGTAGGGGAATACATTTGAAAAGTCACCTTCCCAACATTGCTTAGACATGACAGCGTTCCAAGTACCACCAGATCTAAACCAGGACGATCTCCTCTCCACACCATAATTCTAAGGAAATTAAACAAACGAAACCAAAAATGTGCATAAAAATTCTAAATGATGCACATATACCATTGTCCGGGAACCACTAATCTATTCTAGCGAGACAATGTACCACCAAACTATCTGTGCGTCTAAATTCTGCCCCAGACCGGCTCGTGTCTGACCTGTTGTCCTGGTGGTGGATGGACAGGATGACCCCGGAGTTGAGGTGGTCCTGTTTGACCGTAGCCAACACAGTGAACTCATTCTTGCCCCTCAGCTTCTGGATCATGGACCTCGAGACATCAGCCGGGGCCTTCACCTCCCGGGAAGAACCTGCAACAAACACAAAAGCATTCAGTGGATTCATCGGAGATTTTGTCGATAGTGTTGAGGAAGTCAGAGAGCGAGAGGGAGCAGTCCTGTTTGGGTTTAGGCCTGGTCTAGTCCGGGTTCAATCCTGGTCTAGTCCGGGTTTAGTCGGTATTTTTCTGTAGTGAGCAGTGGTGTAGAGGTACACGGTTCATGGCATGATAACCCCGACATGCCCAAATATTCAATACAAATCACTCAGTACGAATATATAAAGGTGCCGGCCAAGTAAAAGTCAGTTTGTTTTTTGTTTGTTTTTTTACTTAAAATTATGCAGAATCGTGTTTTTAACATTAACACAGTTTATATAATCACCTATATAAAATAAATCAGACACATGTGCCAAGGACTGAACCAGGACTAAAACAGGATTAAAACAGGACTAATCTTGGATTTGAGAGAGAGAGAACCCCAAGCCTGTGGAGCAGAGGAGAGGTTTAGTCCTGGTTTAGTCCTGGTTTAGTCCTGGTTTAGTCCTGGTTCAGTCCTGGTTCAGTCCTGGTTTAGTCCTGATTTAGTCCTGGTTTAGACCTGGATCAGTCCTGTTTTAGTCCTGGTTCAGTCCTGTTTTAATCCTGTTTTAGTGCTGTTTTAGTCCTGTTTTAGTCCTAGTTCAGTCCTGTTGTAGTCCTGGTTTAGTCCTGGTTTAGATCTGGTTTAGTCCTGGTTTAGTCCTGGTTCAGTCCTGGTTTAGTCCTGGTTCAGTCCTGGTTCAGTCCTGGTTTAGTCCTGATTTAGTCCTGGTTTAGATCTGGATCAGTCCTGTTTTAGTCCTGGTTCAGTCCTGTTTTAATCCTGTTTTAGTGCTGTTTTAGTCCTGTTTTAGTCCTAGTTCAGTCCTGGTTTAGTCCTGGTTCAGTCCTGGTTCAGTCCTGGTTTAGTCCTGGTTCAGTCCTGGTTCAGTCCTGTTTTAGTCCTGGTTTAGTCCTGTTTTAGTCCTGGTTCAGTCCTGTTTTAATCCTGTTTTAGTGCTGTTTTAGTCCTGTTTTAGTCCTGGTTCAGTCCTGTTTTAGTCCTGGTTCAGTCCTGTTTTAGTCCTGGTTTAGTCCTGGTTCAGGTCTTTATTTGACAGTAGTGCAGATTTCATGAGTTTATGCAGGTTGTTTTCTCCAGTGCCAGTAGCTCCAGTTTGACATTTAAGTTGTAGCTGTTTTATATTTGTTATTATTTGGTACAGAAGAAGGAACATTGAATATCTGGGAAAAAAAACATAATCAAAAGATAAGAAAACAAAAATATGAACTGTAAATTTTAAATTTTTTCCCATAAATGTGTTCATTTTCAGAGCAAATTCTAAAATCTAAAAATAACCACTTTAACCTTTGATAGTTAGTTTTTTTTCAACCCGTAATTTAGATTCCATTGCAGTCCGCTGTGCAGCCCCAGTCCACTAATGCTACTGCAGCCTGTACTTTGTGTGTGGTTATTTCCCCGACTCGTGTTCCCAAGGGCCTGCCCCTCGACCCCCCCCCCCCCCCACCTCCGGTCCCACGCAGACCCTCCATGCTACTTTAATGGAAGCATCAATAAAAGATGGTGTTTCACATCAAAGACCTGGGAGCGGAGATGTGAGGCAAGTGCGCGCTGACCTGGTACAGTTAGGAGCTCCGGGAGGCTGCTTTTCTCTGGATTTACATGACTTCCACCAGCAAGAAGCCTTCATTAGCACGATATGGTAATACTAAAACTACGAAAAATAATTACATGGATAAACGTTTACATTGAGTCACATGGGGCAGGCTTCACATGTGCAGTTTGCCCTGTGCTCCCTGGTGCTGGAGGTTTAATATCGGCTATAAACCACAGAAAGACTAAACCAGGTCTAAACCAGGAGGACAGAAGAACTAAACCTCTTATTTTGTAATCATGCTCAGTTAAACAGTGAAAAATCTGGTCCAAATCAACAGGAAACCAAGAGTGAACTATAAATACACCAGGATTACATCCAGAATAAACCAGGACTGAACCAGGAATAAACCAGGAATAAACTAGAAACAGTGTATCATTCGTTCATTCATTTTTCAAAATAGAACCAAAAATTTGAAAAAAAACAAAAACAAAAAAATATATATATATATATATATATATATATATATATATATATATATATATAATTATAACTATTTTCTTCATTATTTGTCTGCAAAACCAAAATGAAAAAATAGATAATGATTTGTTTTATTGGTTCTCGATTTTGTGTTTAAATGAAAAATGTTTGCATGACTTAAACTGCGACTTCAACTGGACTAAACCAGGACTAAACCAGGACTGATCCCAAAACTGAACCAGGAGGATTAAACCAGGACTGAACCAGGTCTAACCCAAGTCTAAACCAGGACTTGACAAGAAATGAACCAGGATTAAACCAGGACTAAACTAGGACTAAGACAGGTCTAAACCAGGACTAATCTTGGACTTGAGAGAGAGAGACAGGACCCCGTCCGTGGAGCAAGGTGTCCGCAAAGTGCGATTGGGTGTCTGCTGCGCTTAGCCCCACGAGGTGTGGAGCTCTGCATGGTCCTTTCACCCACAGTCATCTGACTGTCTACATGGGCGCACCAGTGGGCCCGTCCCAACACACAGTCCTGGTTCAGTTCTGGTTTAGTCCTGTTTTAATCCTAGTTCAGTCCTGGTTTAGTCCTCCTCATTCAGTCCTGGGATCAGTCCTGGCTGAGTCCTGATTGAGTCTTGGTTTAGTCCTGGTTGAGTCCTGGTTTAGTCCTGGTTGAGTCCTGGTTGAGTCCTGGTTGAGTCCTGGTTTAGTCCTGGTTTAGTCCTGGTTGAGTCCTGGTTTAGTCCTGGTTTTGGTTGAGTCCTGGTTGAGTCCTGGTTGAGTGCATATATGGCATCCTATTTTTCATTTAAACACAAAATCAAAAACTGAAAAGACAAATTGTTTCCGCTTTTTCATTTTGGCTTTGGAGACAAATAATAAAGATTTTTTTTTCTTTTTTTTTTTTCTTACTGTTGGTTTTATTTTGAAAAACAAATGAACAAATGATAAACGGATTAACCAGGACTAAACCAGGACTAAACCAGGACTGAACCAGGACTAAACCAGGACTGAACCAGGACTGATACCAAGATTGAACAAGCTGCAAATCAAGATAAAGTAACCAAAGTATAGGAGTAAATTACAAATAAAACCATAAACTTGCACTGTGTAACATTTGTGGTGCTGGGTAGACCATCTGCTTGTCTCAGAAGTGATTATTTTTCCTAGAAGGTTTCACAGTATGACATTAAACGCAACACCCACAATATTAAATGATGTCGTTTTATGTGAGCAAAAGAGCAAAATCATAAAGCATCAAAGAGACAAGTCCCCACCGCAAAGTTACGCAGTCAAATTTTAAAGCTGCAAATCATTCCTGGGTACAACAAAATAACTACTAAACATGCATTCATTTTTTTGGCGTATTTAAAAGAGTGTTAAAGAACCTAGAATAGTGTTTTGTTCACGTAAACCAACCCGTCTGCGTTTAGTTTAAAGTGCACTCGTGAAGGTTTTGTCCCCGTTGGCTTTAAGTGCAGCAGAGGCACGGCGTCCGTCTCTTCGGGATGGGCGTTCATACATTTTGCATTGCCGGTGTCATTGGTTGAAGAGGCACAGATGGTCCAATGACTAAGGGACAGGAGTTCTGCCTAGCGATAATCTGCCATCAACGCCATCTATTTAATGAGGGAATCGACGTGAGCGGAGACGGTATAATCTCACAAATGATGGAATTTTTAATCTGGGAGAGAGTGATATAAATAACAGAACCTAACCTACTTTTTCCACTGTCTGGGAATGACTTGCAATATACAGCAAGATATAGCAAAAATAAAATCTGATATTTTCATCAACAAACACAAAATATGATGTAAAATGTACCGTATTTTTCTGACAATAAATCAGACTTTTTTTCATGGTTTGGGTGTTTTCCGCGACTTATACCCCAGTGCGACTTATATATTAAAATATTCACAGTGACGTGGAGAGGTTCTAATCTTGTGTGTCAGTATCCTGTTCCTCCTGTACCACTGTCAATTGGCTCTACTGCACATGTCTCCTGCAGAAAGAGCCTCTGTTCTGTCTGTATCATGTCAGTCGATCGCACCATTACTTCTGAACCACTGAACAATTTAACATTTATATACATTTAACACTTATAAAGACGACTGAGAAGACTGAACACAAATGCCCCCAAAAACAAAATCAGATTTTGCAGATTACAAACTGCAAGTCGTGAAATCTGCGGCCAAACACAGTAATCGAGCAGCAGAGAGAAAGTGGATGCACCATGAAACTTTCCTGAAGTCACTGGATGGATGGACAAAGCCTGAACTTCAATGACACCGAAACCATCCTGTCGGGATTCAGAAAGACCCGAATAATTCTAACTGGAACTGATGGTGAGTCTGACGACAGCGACACAGAAGAGGAAGCGACGCTCTGTTTACCTCCAGAGGTCGAGGCCGAGTTGTTCAGAAGTGACACCAAGGATGAAGAATTGAATGGATTTAGTGATTTGGAGTGAGATGGAGAGTTTGGTAAAACTTGTTCTGTTCTGTTTTTTATGCTATAGTTTTGTTCTTCTTCATTACACATTTATGCCACTTATAGACCCAAAAGTACGGTACGTGAACACAATAACAGGAGGTGGCATCTCCTCCAGTCCAAGTAAGAGTCAGGTTCATGGAGATGCAAACCTGCTCACAGTAAAGATGTATGTTATTGCGTAGAATCCCTCAGTTGTCCAGGTAGAATGTATAGCAAAGGAGAAATTCAATTTGTTAACTGGTCAAACGTTTATTTAGGTCGAAAATGTTTCACAGCTTTAAATAAATTAATTTCTCGCTATAGTTTATCTGAAGAACTGTTCATATGTGACGTTAACAGTCTGTTGTTCTCTCTTCTATTGTTATTACTACAACTTGACTTTCAACATGAAATGTTGGCTCCTGGTCTCTGATTTTAT